TTCGCAAAAAAAAAAAAAAAAAAAAAGAAAAAAAAAAAAAAAAAAAAAAAAACACACATCAGACCGTCACCAATGATGCAAAACCACTTTAGGTTGCCAGAACTTAGTTACACGTGGCATGATTTGTTTGCATTTCCTATGCCATTGCATAATTCTCATTTAAATACATGCAAATGTGACTCATTAAATAAAATTGGAAATAGGAACTAAAAGACTGATCAATCCAGTTCAGCTACCTACTTGTAGTGATCCTCATACAAGAGTTTCAAAATATTAAGTTATTAGCATGCTTAAATACGTTGTAAATACTAAACAATAAATGTATATAAAGACTTGGAAACATGCCAAATTAAACAAACAAACAAAAAAACACAATTGTGTTTAATTGCTGAAACGGCGACTTGCTAACGTGGCCATTCCTGCGTATGTCAGATTTAAATATGGCGTATTTACATTTGCTCTTAGAATGACACAACAAAGCAACTGGAGAAATAGTTTAACAAATTTAATTAAGAAATGTTTTATGTGCGTAAAACGAGTTTCGTATGTAATATTTTCACCCTGTTGTATACATGCGCGCTACGTCAACTCATGACACGCCATGCTAACGGCTAAGTAGTGAAGACGGATTTCTCGTTTAACACTTAATTTCACAACTATTCACATCTACAAACATTTGAATTCCGAGATGGGTGGGTGTGTACAGATTTAATCGAATTAATAAAATGTGTTGTTGGAAAATACCACCGTTCTTTTGGTTTGCGGCGATGAAAAACTTGTCCTGGCTAGACACCAACTCCAGTAAACTTTGAGCTGCGCGTGCGCGATAGTGACACGTACACCAGCTAGCGCGAGCGCTAACACACACTGGATAAGCAAAACTTTACTCTTATTGATCCTTTATACACCTAATGTCCCGAGAATGACAACGTCTCACAAGTGTACACTGAAAACACGGCCTTTGCTGACGGACGAATGTGAATGTTTAGTCAAGATCAGCATTAGTGACTGTCCACACAAAGTCCACGTAGGCATTAGAGCAAAGGGTGAAACAGTAGGGAGAAACTGACAGAGTCGAGCTAGAGCACATTTTCACAGCAAAACATTCACAGCCATGTACGTGTATCAGAGGTCAAGAAGAAGCAATGCAGACTTTCGGATGTATAATGTATGTAGACTGATTTGCGGAATGAAGAGTGACTTACTTGTGTTTGTGTTCCCGTCTGCCCTGTGTGGTGCAGAAGCTCGTAGTGAAACTCCACTGTCGAAAGGGAGGAGCAGCAGCCTGTGAGTTATATAGCTCAAGCCTCCACCAATCACCTTCTCTCACGTCACATTGCCCGGCCGTACAGATCATACATGTCTTTCTGAAAAGGAACAGCTATAATGGTGGTGGGGATTCGGATTCATCTCAATGAGAGTATTTTGAATCTTTTCTCCAGAAATCTTTTCAATCTTTTTACCAGTTTACTCATTCGTTCTTTTCCGCAGTTTACATCAACAGTAGGTGGCAATAAGTGAGTGCATTGTTTGAATCAGTCAATTAATTATTCCTTAATAAACAACTGAACAACTCATGCTTTATTAAAACTTTTATCAAAAGTCCTTTATTAAAACGCATTTACAATCCAAAAGCGTTTATCTACTCAGTAACTAAAATGTATTGGTAGGAATTTTGATTCATTTTTGTAACCCGAATCTTTTAAATTCACTGATTCTTTTCATTCATTCACTGATTCGTTCTTCTGGAGGTGACACCAGCAGTAGGTGGCGATAAGATAAGTGAGTGTATTTTGTGTATTTTGAATCAATCATTCAACAATAAACACGACCAACACCAACCGAGGTAGGCGTACTGTCCTTTAAGAATATGATAATCCTATTTATTTTGCTAGTCTAACTAGACATTAGCATTTCGCTTTGTTAGCATTTAGCATAGTTTCCCCTTGCTGTCTATCAGAACAAGCATGTGACAATGCCCAATTTGATAGATTCAAGTTTTCATAGGTTTAGGATAAAAACCTACACAAGCAGTAGCCAACACTGCTGCTACATCCGGAGGTCCTAAGGAATTTTTATGGTGGTCACAGGCCCAACCTTAGGAATCAGTCTCTAGATGGGTGGAGGGCAGAAACTGCATTTTGACCAATGAGAAGTCCTGTCCTTCCTGGGCCTGATACCAGAGGTCTTCTTCTTGCCCTTTAAGGTGTCTGGCTGTTGTCCTAGCATCTTTATCTGATGGCGTTGGACAGTTTTGTTAGTCCACCAAGATCCAATCAAAATGTAGCAAACCTTTGTCCACTATTGTGGTCAGAGAGGGGCCCGGCCATAAAGTGGGCCCTGGAATGTGCTGTCCATTACATAATGAACAAAAGGATAAACAGGTGTGCTGATTAATGAGTGTCCATAGTAGCTGATGAGTGGCGTGAAAACGCTCCAGTTACTTACATAACCTAGGTTCCCTGAGATAAGGGAACGAGCGTTGCGTTAACACACTATGGGGAAACTCCTGTTTACTCTAATACTGAAGCCTGTTTTAATCATGTTCGTGTAGCTGCACGAACCAATGACACTTCAATCCGCCAAAAAGGGGTGGAGCCGACTGCTATATAAGTAGACTCTGAACGCCATTTCGTCAGAATCTTTAGACTGAAGCGACAGTCATCAACTCATGTGCAGCTTTATAGCATGGCAGCCTACGCAATGCTCATTCCCTTATCTCAGGAAACCAAGGTTACATAAGTAACCGGAGTGTTCCCTTTCGAACGGCCTCTTCCATTGCGTTAACACGCTATGGGGAATGCATCCAATCGTGCCGTGCTATAAGCAAGTGCAGAACGAAGCCGCTCTGTGAACCCAGCCCCGGAGCACCCGTACTGAGCCACCCGTACCCGTGGCTCCTATAAGTCTGAGCTAACAATGAGACCCAAGCCATCTAGGCTGAGGACTACATAACAAAAACTTTTCCACTTACAAAGGGGATTAGGTAAACTTAAGTGGACAAAATCTGTGCCTGCAAGGCAGGGATGTCCAAGTTATAAACCCGGTAAAGGTTGACAGCAACAATCAGCTGGCAGCCGCACAGATATCACCAATAGAAATCAACATACACGCTAAGGGCTCAAACCGGGCAGAGTGGTTTAAGTAAATTGGGCAGTGAAAGTTGTCTCCTGAAGTGAAAAGGTCCACCTTTGCCCTCCCGAAGACAGACCAGATTGTTTGAACCGATTGGGGATGTTGTCTCCATTCTCCTGGAGCTACATTGCCCCTGGACAACATGTCTGCTCCCTGGTTCAGTCTGCCCGGCATATGAACTTCTGTCAACAAGAGGAGTTTGCCTGTGCCCATAAAAGGAGGAGGTGGGTTACCCCGAAATGAAAATGTCCCAGTTGCCAATCATGAGACAGGACATGGGCTTTGAGCCAATACTGGAGGGGCCGCATTGAAGCAGGCCCAGAGGAATCACAGAGGAAGCAGCTTACATGAGGCCGAGCATCCTCTGAAAAGCCCAGAGGAGACGTGAAGTCCTGAGTCTGAATGACACTGCTAGTCGCTGAATTGTCAGGGAGCGGTCTGGCGTAATCTGGCGTAATCATAATGCAGATTCTCATCTGTCTCAGAAGGGAAAGAGCCATGTCCGTGCATTTCGTAAAGTGCGTAGGGCAAGCCACCCTCTTGAACATGAATTTCAAGAGCAGTCTATGATGAGGGGCTGTCTGGATGTGAAAGTAAGCATCTTTTAGATCCACTGATAAAAAGCCAGTCCTGGGGCATATTTGCATATTTACTTTCAATAGACCGCACTTTCTCATTCTGTTTGCTCTGTTTGTTTGGTTTTTTTTAATTACCGAATTTCAAACTCAGACACCACTTGCTCATTCTTGAAGTGAATGTTTGACTGTTTGGAGAGTAGATCAAAGGTTTTGGACTGCCATCTCTGGTTGCCCTATAGACTCATGCATCGCACGGCGGTGGCGCTGCGCTTCTCATCCAGTGTGCGACCACCTTTCAGAAATGCAACAAGAAAACAGCGCAGCGAGAGTGACTAATATCACCAAAATAAAACATCGCTAAATTTAAGTCAAATGAAAATCCTCATTACAAATGCATCATCACACAATTGGTCTGTGCACAAAACCAACAAATGTAATGTTTAATGTAAGCCAACACATCATGACAGCGCTCACAGCAAAACAACTTAGCGACAGACACTTCATTACAAACAAGTAGTGTTTATATTAAATAATATTATTATTGGCACAGCAGCCCAGTAAATGTCCTCACTTACATTATCTGCGGGTTCCATCGTGACATGAATAATAGCTAGTTAGATTATCATCTTATATTTTTTTTTTCGATAGAGATCCCACAGCCGGCGGAACTTGTCATAAAGTTAGTGATAACAAGGCCCGCCCATTTAGAGGAAAGATATGATTGGTCAGTTTTTCTGTCATTTAAAATTACGCTCCCATTGATTTACTATTGCTTGGCCCTCTGTAATTTCACAGCTGGACCACCAATCACAGAGCCGCAAACTTTAGGCGGAAACATTCTAATATGGAGAAAATGGGCAAAGTTCATTTAATGCATTCACTGAATAGGCAGATTTGAAGAGTTTATTTCCACAAAAACTGTATTTATTTTGTTTAGATGATGATTGTGAAATTATGAATTGCTTAAAGCATTCACTGAATAGGCAGATTTGAAGAGTTTATTTCCACAGAAACTGTATTTATTTTGTTTAGATGATGATTGTGAAATTATGAATTGCTTAAATAAAATAGGAAATTATTGCTTTTTATTAAAAATAATATTTAAAAGTTTGTCATTTAAAAAAATATAAAAAATTGTAAATATTGTTTTCACAATAGTTTAGGCCAGGGGTGTCCAAACTCGGTCCTGGAGGGCCAGTGTCCTGCAGATTTTAGCTCCAACTTGCCTCAACACACCTGCCGGGAAGTTTCTAGCATGCCTAGTAAGAGCTTGATTAGCTTGTTCAGGTGTGTCTAATTGGGGTTGGAGCTAAACTCTGCAGGACACCGGCCCTCCAGGACCGAATTTGGGCACCCCTGGTTTAGGCCCTCTCTGGTTCCCCACTGGGTTCGAATAATGCCTTTGAAAGGAGATGGCCTGCGAGTGAACTGGAGCAAGTGACCTCATTCTATGGGGAGCACTTAGGCATGACGACGACTTCTGAGCTGCAGTGAAGAGCTTTGCAAATCTGCCAGGCAGATGGCGGGTAGAGGTGTGCAGCGACCACCTCTTCCCTAGGGGGGAGCTTGCCATAGCCTCTTACTTCAGCGCCGTCAACAGAGGTGAGGGTGGCAGAATTATTCGACTTTATTACTATGACCAGTCATACAGTATATTAATGACCCCCAGTGTTTGATAAAAAAGGGGAGAATTAACTAATTAAAAAAAAAAGAGGAGCACCTTCTGTGACAAAAAAAATCAATGACAAAATTGGGGACCCAGGGCAGAACCAGCGGCCACCACAGCGGTGTGTGTGGAACTGCCGCCTTGGAACGGGCAATGGCGGGCTCCGCTATGGCGACCTCTGGTGGTGAGAGGGAGAAACACCAGACGCCAGACCCTGACACACATTATGAGGTGAAATTTGACTCCTCAAAGTGATTTGCAGGGGCACCTTTGTAATGGAAATTTAATTAAGTGTGTCATATTTTATGTTAAATTCATCCATTTATATTTAGAAACTTTGTTGTTGTTTTTTTTTAATTGAAAGTGAATCAGGAAGAATAATTTGCAAATCAAATTAAATCAGTAGTATCAAGAAAATTCATCTTGGCACTACAGAGGTGGCACAGAAGATCACAAAAGCAGCATTTAGATATATTTACAAACTGTTTAACAAGGCGTGGGAGGTGGCATGAATGCAATTAAATTCAACAATGTTATAAGATTAATGTTTTGAATATAAAGTTTTAAATATAGAAATATTAAATGATTTAAATAATTGAAATTTTCAAATGAAAATAAAACCGCCAGTAGGTGGCAGCAAGTTTGTCACTGAATCATTTATTCAATCAATTCGTTCAAATTCATTCAGATTCATTCAGGAATGAAGCAAGTGACTGCCCCCTTGTACAAATACCCGCACTTGCAGTCTTTGCACTTGACCATTTGACTACTTTACTTATATGACGTATTTCCTGTATTTGGTCCAAGTATTCAAGTGAGCATGAATACCACAAGTGTGTGTAGAACTTTTCATTACCTGATGGGACACATTTATAATGTTGTAAAAATGCAAGTGTTTACAGAGCTTTATTTTTATTTTAAATACTTTGCATTTTAAAATCAACTTATAAATGTCTGTTCAGTATTCCCTATAACAGATGAGACAATTTAATTTTGTGGTGCTTCTAATTAAGTGATAAAAAGCAGTTGCAAATTTTGTACAAAATAATTATCACCACTACTCATTTGCACCAATAAAATGTGCAACTCTTTGTTTTACTACCAAATTATATGTAATATCTAATTATTATTAATATTTAACATACATTGGAAAGGTTTTCATGACCTCTTGCGAGCTCTCGGCAAAAAGTCTCACGATTTATTTCCACAACATGATGCATGATTAGGGCTGTGAATCTTTGGGTAGACAGCGATTCGATTCGATTCACAATTCATGGGTTTTTGCAAATTCAGAACGATTCAGTTTGATTTGATTCACAATTAAATTTGATTCAATTCGATTAACAATTCGACTCTGCGTTCTTTAAGTACATTCACAGGATTATTTAAATGCTTCCCCTAAATTCTTTAAATGCCAAGTCAGGAGGCAAATTACACAGCAGCCTTTATGGTTAGAGAAAAAAAAAAAACTTTGTCCATGGTTGTCACGTTGCACACAGACGAGGAACACGGGAACGAAGGAGCGAGGAGTAAATACATCAAAAGGGTTTTATTAACTAAAGGCTGGGGATCACAGGACTCGACACATCAGGAGAACAGAATGACATTTAACGGCTGACAAAGAGGGGGGGGCGCTCTGGAGGCCTCTAGGAGTAGGGTTACCAGACGAGGGGCCTCCGGAGCGGGCACCATGGTAGATATGTCAGCTCCGGGCGCATGGCGGAGTGGGGAATACAGGAGGACATGGCAGAGTGGGGAACACAGGAGAACATGGCGGAGTAGGGAACACAGGAGAACATGTAGAGTAGGGCCCAATGGTTAATGCGGCCCTGCACACACGAGGAACACGGGAACGAAGGAGCGAGGAGACGAGGAGTAAATACATCAAAAGGGTTTTATTAACTAAAGGCTGGGGATCACAGGACTCGACACATCAGGAGAACAGAATGACATTTAACGGCACAAAAGCATTGTGGGGAAAAGGCGTGGTCGGCGGGGGAGAGGTGCTGAACGTCCTGTGGGCTTGCCATATTAATGTCCGGCGGGCTTGCCATATGCGTGGCCAGCGGGCTGGAGATAGCCCTACCCCCCAAAAAAATTGCGTGGGGACGCTTACGGGTTCCGAGGCCCTCCATGGGCCATGACAGGGGACTGGAGCCCTCCCTGGGCTTACTTGAAGATCTGTAGCCCTCCCTGGCCTTGACTGGGGATCGGGAGCCCTTCCTGGGCTTGACTGGGGTTTTGGAGTCCTCCGTGGGCTTGATTGGGGATCTGGAGCCCTCAATGGGCTATGCTCTGGGGTCTTGAACGTCCTGCGGGCTTGCCATATTAATGTCCGGCGGGCTTGCCATATGCGTGGCCAGCGGGCTGGAGATAGCCCCGGCTGACGGGCTTGACATATGAACCGCCGGCGGGCTTGCCATAAGAATGGCCGGCGAACTTGACTCAGCGCGACCGGCAAGCTTAACATCTGGACGGTCGGTAGGCTTGTCTTCGGTGAGGCCGGCGGGCTGGAGAGAGCCACGGCCGGCGGCCTTGACAATGGCGCGGCCAGCACACTTCGGTGCGGCTGGCAAACTTGACATGGTCTGCGGGCTTGACATCGGCATGGCTGAACGTCCTGCGGGCTTGCCATATTCGTGGCCAGCGGGCTGGAGATTGCCCCGGCTGACGGGCTTGACCTCGGCATGGCTGGCAGACTTTTCTTCGGACTTGCCCGCGAACTTGAATTTAGAGCTGCCGGCAGGCTTGCCATATGCGTGGCCAGCGGACTGGAGATAGCCCCGGCTGACGGGCTTGACATCGGCCTGGTCAGCGGGCTGGAGATAGCCCCGGCTGGAGGGTATGACAACGGCGTGGCCAGCACGCTTCACAGCTGGGCGGTCTTCGTACCGCGGAGACAAACGGGAGAAAAAAGAAAAAAATAGACTGTTCAAAAACGAAAACAAAACACGGGAGAAGGAGCGCCGCTTACTGTCTTGGTCAGACGTTCTGTCACGCTGCACACACGAGGAACACGGGAACGAAGGAGCGAGGAGACGAGGAGTAAATACATCAAAAGGGTTTTATTAACTAAAGGCTGGGGATCACAGGACTTGACACATCAGGAGAACAGAATGACGTTTAACGGCTGACAAAGAACAAGCACTAGAACACACTTTAAATACACAGGAACTGATGAGGGGAAGACGAGGGACACCTGGAACTAAGGAAACAATAAACATTGGAAACACCTGAGACAAATGAACTTGATACACGAGAGACAGAAACAGGGTCACGGAACACATGGGGAGCAAAGACGCACACAAAACCTGGCCCAGAGTCTGACAATGGTTAGATGCTAGTTTAATGATGCTAAGATAAAAAAAAGAGCTTTAAAAGTATTATGTGTAGGCTAACATATTGTCACACCAGGGGCATAGCCATCATTTCAGAAGTGACAGAAATGTCAACTACAATTATTTTATGTATGTATGTATTATTATGAATTTTTTTTATTTATTTTTTTTACAAGAAATTATTTTCTTATCTTTTACTTTGAATTTGCTATAAGACACCAAATACACTTCTGGAAAATAATCAATAATTTGTAATCTATAATTTTTTCCTAATGGCAATTTTATGATTGTTTTATATGCTAAACAATTATTTCAATTTTCTGCACAGAATTAGGTAGAGAATATACTTTATAGTTTCTGTACTGTAATAAATGATATGTCAATTAGCACTGCATCATTCATAAATTTTACTTATTTATTGTGTTTATTGTCTTAACGTTTCACCAGTTCATTCTGCTTTTTATTCAGCTTTGTCCATATTAGGCATTTCCTGGTACGTCTTAAGTTCTTTGAGCGCGAGATCGCTTCTCTTTCAGTGCGAAAACTTCTTTATCTCATTTTCATAAAATAAAATGCTATAGTATTTAACTTTTCCTCTCCATCGGGGAATGATGATTCTGAAAGAAACGTGCCTGATGTTTGTTTGCTATAGCAACAAACGCTACTTTCATGCATCTGATTATCAGATAAACCTTGCGCTCTTATTTCAAGGTTGTTGTTAATGCTGTGGTTATTTGAACAGTTTCCTTC